ATTTATATCTGGGAAGCCCTTGACCATATTTAATATACCACCATTTAATTCTGGTTAAAAACCTGTTTTAATAACTGTCCATATATATAAAGTTTTCCTCTTGATTGACAATAAGAAGGACTGTATGGCTCTCTGCCTCCCTCTTGTGGTCAGGCATCTAATGGAGCCATCAGCTTTATAAAATGTTGACAATTCAGCCATCATATTGGAAAATAACCCAGCATAATGGGATGTCTCCTTTTTATGTTTTTGCAATCTTCATCAAGGCTTATGGTATTTTAAACATGCCTGTGCTAAGTACAAATATAAGTAAAACAACCTCAAGTTCAATGAAAAATTAATCTGGCATCTGTTTGATCTATTTAAGTATATTTAGTTGCTGTTACACTCTTGTTTTGTGTCTTAAAGAGAATACAAATGTTAATAATATAAATGAAAATGCAAAGGGAAAAAATTATTTATTTCTTTCCATGTGTGATAAGGAAAGGTACTTATATTCATATTTATGAATTGTGGCTTTTAAACCTTAAAAATAGATTCAAGTTGCATTTTTTAAATATTGCAATTTGCAATGCCTCTTTAGTCATTTAAATAAAAAAAAAATCCAATTACAAAACCCTTTTTAAGTTTAATTTCTCATTCTATGATTCAAATGATAAATTCAAAATAGTTTTTCACTTTTATTGATTCTCCTGTTCCTCCATAGTTTTGTGGTTGACTTGCTTATAGTGGTGATAAGTGACTCCTGGCCATATTGGCTGCTGATACTCTTTTTTTCCCCCTTTTTGTTCACCAACTGCACAATTTTTTTCCTCAGACTAAGCATGCTTGTAGCGACAGTGGAGAGGAAAAACTCCCTTTTAACAGGAAGAAACCTCCAGCAGAACCAGGCTCAGTGTGTGTGGCCATCTGCTGAGGCCCACTGGGGTTCAAGGAGACAGAAGCAGAGATAGAAAAAGCAGCTCTAAAAGGCGGCCCCATCCAGGAAACACACAGCCAGGCAGACGAGCTCCGAGCCAGCTCCCATGTCAGAGGATGAAGAGAGCACATCCAGTTAGTCACATTCAGAGAAACAGGGTTTTAATCTTGCTAAATGTAAAGGCACTAAAATTGAGTGTCTGCGATTTGAAAATAGCTTTTTATTAAATTTTTTTTGCAAATGCAATTAATTGCCCTGCCCTAATACATACAAACATACATGAATATAATATACATGAATATATACATACATACTCACAGTAGTATGATATACATTTTACACAGCCATGTATCGTGACTAAGGCTGGCCAACAATTAAAATCTTTAATCGCAATTATCTGCATAATTTGCTAGATTAATCACAATTATTATAATCATAAAAGCAAACTCGAAGAATTTGTTAAAAAGTAGCATAACATTTGAGGGTAATATATCAATGCATTACTGCATGCATCATTTAGATGGTTAACATCGTATTACTTCTTGAGCTCCTTTAGTTATTTACTGTCACAGGTAGGAGCTTCGGCCGGAGAGTAAGTGTTGGGGCCAGTACCGTAGCCTCGTGAGACCATCCTGATCTCGCGAGCTTTCAAGGTTTCACTCGCAGATCAGTCTGGAGACTCTCCGTTAAAGAAAATTTGGAGCCGTTCACCAAACGAACGTCCAATCAGCGTTGGCTTTGAGGCGGGTTGAGGTGTGACGCAACGAGAAGCGCGACAGTTCAGTCTAAAGAACATGGCGGCTTCAGCCGATGAAACTAGCGTTAGCGTGGCTATCGAGCAAGTTTTATCGGAATTACAGAGTATTTCTTCACTGAAAGAAGAGCAAAACACTGCTCTGGAGACTTTTCTCAGAGGAAAAAACGTTTTTGCTCTTCTTCCGACTGGTTTCGGCAAGAGTTTGATCTATCAATTGGCTCCTCTTCGTCGTCGCTCTGTTAGTACGTCATATGCTTCGTTGATCTGATTGGTTTATTTGGCCCGTCTATCACCAACATAGGCCAATCAGCTAACCAGTATTTTTTGCCCCTTCCCAAAATTACTTCTACGGAAGGTTTCCAGATGGATATGCGGAGCAAATCCATCTGGCAGAGTCAGGTTACCAGTACCGGACCATCGGGCAAATGCCCGCTATCACAGATTACCAGTCTGAGTCTGCTGGTATCTGTATCGGTGCAACACTACTTGTAACCAATGATTAATGTGTATTTCTGGGTTTTAAATTAAAAATACATCAGACTTCAGTGACTCTGTGTGTTTACAGGCTGATCTACACATTTTTAGATCTTAGTACACATTTACAAATCTTAACACACATTTGTAGATCTAAATACATAAAATGTCACACAAATCTAGATACAGACACAGAAGACTTTTACAAATAATATTGTAACAACATTGCTCCCATACAACGCCTTTTAACAGGGAGTAACATTACCAGTCTATGTTCAACACCAAAGTACATAAAAGTAGAAACTTCCTTTACAGGGAACTAAAACATAAAGTTCATGTTTTACTGGAGTTTTGATTTTGTTTTAGCTTTTTCTATATCCCTGCAGTCAGTTGCTTAGATGCACAAGTTTATTTCTATTTACAGAATCTCTCTTTTGCTCCTGTGATAAGAAAGTTCAGCTTGGCAGTGGGTGGTTACAAATGACCTTATTTCGCTCATTTCCGCCATTTGGAAGAACATTACACTGAAAATGGCAAAATATTTTCTTTCCCGGTTGCGCAACAGCCAGTGCTGCCCTCCTCCTCCTTCTGGTCATCCTTTATGTAATCAACTATCAAACTTTGTATCCAGACAGTTTGCTTTTAGTTTGGTGCTGGGCATTACCATGAATGTCTGTAAGTCTTTGTTATAGTCTGATTTTATGGAGTTACATATTTTGCTAAAAGACTATTTCTTTTGTAGTTTGGAAAAACTAAATTTTTTCTTTGAGTAAAGTTATTCAAACTTCAGCCAGTAGGTGGCAGCAAAGGCCATGCTTTACTTAGTTGGTTTTTTGTAGCAGTTCTTAGGAAAGCTAACTGAACATAGAGTTTGGTGGTAACCAAAAATAATGAACAAGCCCTAAGAGAGACACCGTTTCAGAGCCAAACTTGTATTTTAGAAGAGAAAAAAAAATGTGTAAATAAAGTTTTGTTAAATAAAGTTTCATATTTCTTCCCTCTCTCTTACAATGCTGCAGATTAAGTGTCCAGTTTTTTTTTTGTTTTTTTTTTAAAGATGCAGCTGTTTTAAAGAGCTTTCTCTTGAATCAATTTGACTGTATGATCTGGTTGAATTGTAAAGTGGCTTGACATGACATGTGTTGTGAATTGATGCTACAGAAATAAACTGAATTGAATAGTATTAGTTTCATTTTTGTGAGATAGTATCTCACCTTTACTACTTCATGATAATGGGATAACTAAGTCATTATTATGAGATAGAGACTCAATGATTGATTTTATTACAGACTCAAGGTCCAATATACATTAAAAGAAACAGATACACCAAGAATAAAAAAATAAATAAAAGTACAACAGAGAAGGTGCCTACCCCTTCAGGAGGCAATTATACCAATATCTCCAAGGAACAGATGAATATTTAACTGCACTATATTTGACATTGGTCATCAGTAAAATAATTGTATTATCGGACTCATTTAGACGACAAATAAATTTATACATAAGCTTTCTCAAGACAGCCATAAAAGTCCTGACACTAACAGATACAAACAATTCACTGGCACTTAAGGGTGTGCAAAATAATCATCATATCGATGCATCGCGATTCTAATTTTTGTGATCTACTGCATCGATTCTTGCCTTCAAGAATCGATTATAAAAAATAAAAAAAATAAACAAATAAAATACATTAATGGTTGGCGCACATCAGCCAAACCAAGTGGGATACAACTTCCAGTCCAGCAGATGTCGTTGCGGATGTGTTGACGCCCGCTGATTTGTGTCACAAGCATTTCCGGCCGCGGGATACTGAGACGAGTCATTCGTAAACAAAATATGGAGGTGCCTGAGAAAATGTTTGGATGCATTCTGGCTTTAAAAACAAAGAAGGTAAAAATGAAATTGATTTGTTGCACGTAATTTGCGAAAGGACCACTGAGGCCATAACGGCACTGATTATCCTTATTTTGTTATTTTATGTTTTATGAATCCTAAGATCTTTTTGTCAGTGTGTCCACGCCAGTAATAGAAATATTTCTGTCCAGCATTTGTTTCCATGGCAACACCTCCAAAAGTCATTTCAATAAATACAGCTATGTATGAATTCAGTTGCTTTCAGTTATGTATCAATTGAAGACACGATCCAGATCACACCCAGCCAGTCAGCCGCTGGTAAGGGCTGTATCTTTTTCTTAGTGTTCAGTGGAAATATGGCAATGCATTGTGATGCATCGCCATATTTCAAGTATCGTGATGCATCGTGATAGAATCGCATCGTGGCATGTGAATCGTGATTCGAATCGATTAATGACTTCTTTGCCAATACCCACCTCTACTGGCAGTGGTCCATCTGGGCTTATTTAACAAAAGCTTTTTTAAAGTTGCACCACAAATGTGCCGTACATTATTACAAGATACCTGCTTATAATAATAATAAGATATAGAATAGAATAGAATAGAAAATCCATTGTGCCACAATGGGGAGATTTGGGTGTTTACAGCCACAAAAAGATTATAGAAAAAAATATCTACTGTATATATGAAAAAATATCATCATCATATCAAAAAGTATTAGAATTATTGTATTATTATTATAATATGTTACGTCATAATTATGAGATACAGTCTCATATAGAAGATCTCCTAATTATTATACAGGTAATTCATAATTATGAGATATAAGTTTGTTTTTATTTATTTATTTTTTTCTAGTGGCGGAAACGGGCTTCCATACCATGGAACATAAAGTGGTTTATCCAATTCTCTTTTTCCCACGTTGTGCTTTTATTGTTGAGGGTTAAACCGGATGTGGTGTTCCGGTCTTCACCCACTAAGGGGGTGGGGGGTGAGAGGAGGAGTGGAGTGGGGAGCTGGCGGAGGGAAAGGCAGCCGATGTTAGTGGAGGTTGCTCACCTTGTGCAGCAAACACGAAGCCGCTCTGTCCACCTGTGAAGCTCCGCGTGTCCCACGCGCCTCCCCCCCTGTCCAGCGCCCGCGCGCCGCTCTCCAATTTAGCACGAGACGTTGAACTTTGAAGCACCGGCGGCAGATTGTTCCAGCAGCTGACCACAGTGAACGAAGGTAGGGCTGAAGTTGAGCTCGCCACGTCAGGATTGGCTGCTCTCTAAATGAATTCTGCATTTTTATCCTTATTTCTAATGAATGTTCTTCTAACATGTCTCATAAGGAGCGTCTAATTATCAAACTCCAGATAAACTCATATTTTCCCAAAGAGCTGCGGGTGAATCTATGATATCTGTTGTTTTTAAGCGTTTGGTCCACTTTGGTTTCACAGAATGTCAACAGCAAAGTGTTTATAGCTGAGCTGCCTTCACATGAGAACGGAATGCAGCATTCCGCAGCGATTAGACACCAGCGGACACACAGACTAACGGGCTGTTTGTCAACCATAATCCAGCGGTTAGGGTTTAATTCCAGAAAGGCAGATTGATCTGTGGATTAACACCTCAGCTGTCATTAAAGACGTTTCTGTCCACTGATCAGAAATGAACGCACCAGAGTTCCAGAAAGAGATGTGAAACTACAGACTGCATCAGTTAGTCAGCTTTATGCAATAATTATTTTTACCCTTCAGGCTAATTTTTGTCTTAAAATGTTTAGAGTTGGTTTAGTTGCTTTGTGCTTCTGAGAATCCATTCATACCCATAAAACCTCTGCGTATTTTCTCACGTTATGAGCACAAACTTATCTCTTAATTTATTGGATTTTATATGACAGAGCAACACAAATCATTATGTAACTAAACAGGAAGGGAAATGATTTAAACAGGGTTTCCACGGGTCATTAAAAATCATTAAAAGTCATTAAATTATTATTATATTTTAAATTAAGTCCTTAGTTGGCATTAAAATTAATTAAATGTGATTATCATTGCATTTATAGTGGTTTATTTAAAAAAACAAACCTTTATTAAAAGCAATTTC